CCACCAGTATATAGTACACACAAGTATATAGTACACACCAGTATATAGTACACACCAGTATATATTACACACCAGTATATAGTACACACCAGTATATATTACACACCAGTATATAGTACACACCAGTATATAGTACACACTAGTATATAGTACACACCAGTATATAGTACACACCAGTATATATTACACACCAGTGGAAAGTACACACCAGTGTATAGTACACACCAGTATATAGTACACACCAGTATATAGTACACACCAGTATATAGTACACACCAGTATATAGTACACACCAGTATATAGTACACACCAGTATATAGTACACACCAGTATATAGTACACACCAGTATATAGTACACACCAGTATATAGTACACACCAGTATATAGAACCAGTGTATAGTACACACCAGTATATAGTACACACCAGTATATAGTACCCACCAGTATATAGTACACACCAGTATATAGTACACACCAGTATATAGAACCAGTGTATAGTACACACCAGTATATAGTACACACCAGTATATAGTACACACCAGTATATAGAACCAGTGTATAGTACACACCTGTATATAGTATACACCAGTATATAGAACCTGTATATAGTACACACCAGTATATAGTACACACCTGTATATAGTATACACCAGTATATAGAACCTGTATATAGTACACACCAGTATATAGTACAGACCTGTATATAGTACACACCAGTATATAGAACCAGTGTATAGAACACACCTGTGTACTCAATGATTGTGACTTATCGCATGAAATATCTATTTCGTGTAATTTCAGCTAGTGGTGTAGATGGTATTAGTCAGTGGAAGATGTGGACTGAAGGAAGTCCTAGTACTCGACAAGAATTAGTCTATAATATTGATGATATTGCAAATAATTCTGCTATACGGTAGGCGGTCTTTATATATCTGTTATCTCATCCAATGGCGTTTTTACTGAGGGCCCGAAGAAAAGGGGCTAGCCCAACTTTGCCCTCCCCCAAATTCAAATTTTATAAATTTTACATAGAGGAGGAATTTTTTGTGCACCTCCCCTGTACCGCAGAAAATTTTGTGGTCCCTGCTCGGCTGTCCCCCTAACCTTATGTTTCACTGATAGGCTGTTGATCTCATCTCGTCCCACTATTTGAACACGATTTTTTAAGTGTTATGGTTGTCGAAATTGTAATCTTTGTTGTTGGCGTTCGCCATTGTTAGGCCACTAACAATAGGGTTGCCATGACTTGAATCGTAAGCGATAGTACCAAAGATTCAGATCATTCTGAAGCAACCTGATCATTATTTCACGACCATCGAAATATTTT